AATTGCTGTGCCCCACGGGCATCCTTGAAGTGGGGCATTGCACCATCCTGCTGCTCTTGCCAGGGCTGGGGTTCAGTTCTGGAAGCTTCTTCCAGGACATCCCCCACTTCCCAGAGGTGCCCATGATCATTTGTAAATCTCAGCTCTTGTGAAGAAGGGGCTTTGTTGGGTTTTTGACTTTTTTTGGTGGCTTTTTTTTTTTTTATAGCGACATTGATGGCTGATTGTCCCATATACTATATGGTTTTGAATGCTGTGCGACAGGCAGCGAACAAACAGCTTAAGTAATTGCATAAAAATAGTTATCTGGGGCAGAATACAAAAAGCAGCTCTGAACGGGGAGGGAAAAGGCAACTGCACCCACCACAGCCCGTTCTGTGGAGCGGAAAGACCAAGGTGCTCAGCAAAGATCTTGGTGGCTTGTTGCCAGGCAAAGTTTTGATATTTGCCTTCAAATGTTGATTGGATTTAACAAACCTTAGTCCTGCCTGTAGATACCATGGTCCAAAATTTACTGGTTTTCACCCCAGTAACCCCAGTTTTTCACAGGGGTGGTCAATGCAGGGGCACGGGGACCACCAGCCCGACGTGGTGGGGGAAGGCAGGGGGTGTCCAACCACAGCACCCAGCGGGTTGGAGAAGTTCGGCTACAGACCTTGCTAATTCCCATTTCATTGTTCCAATTCCTCTTTTCCCTTTCTTTTATGAACAGCACACTTTTCACTGCTCAGCAGAGGATGTGATTTGTGACGGTGTCACCTGCCTCAGCCTGGACTGCACCTTCCAGCCCCAACCCAGAGGCCACCCAGAGCCCCTGGGCATCACCTTCTGCTCCCCTGCAGACAACACCCTGCCCTTCAATGCACCCATGTGGGATGTAACCCCCTCCACAGCTCCCTCCGTCTCCCACACAGCCCCTGCAGGGCTCATTTTCAGTCTCCCTCCAAGAAAACACCAGAACCAAGCCCTCTGTGGCCATCTCAGCTTGCAAGAGGCCCGGGCTGGGTGGAAAAAAGGAGATTTGGGGTGAAATTTTCCACTCTCGCATGCCCAGGCAGGGACAAAGCAGGCACAGGAGCATGCATTGCCCTGGCTCTTGTGGCTGGCTCTGCTCTGTCCCCACAGCAGGTCACTGCCAGGCAAGGACAGGCAGGTCCCCCCACTGCCAGTTCCCAAACCCAGTCCTCCATGACCATTCCCACCGTGCCCTTGGCTGCATCCACATAGGCAGTATGTGAGAGACCTCATGCTGACAGGGAGGGGTTGAAGGGACACCAGGAGGCTTGAGCTGGCCCTGGCTCCTCTCCCACCACATATACTGGTGACCCAAACCCACACCCCTGCTGGATGGGACCATGGAGCTCCTCCTGCCTTAAGCCCACCCTGGGGCACACGGCAGTTGGCCACAGCAGGCAACTGAGCTGGCACAAAACTTACTGTCCCACGAAAGTAAGAGAAAAAATGGCTATTTTCCAACAAAATCCCCACCTGGGGTGATCATTTGGCACCATAAGCACGGGTGCCATGATGGAGCCATGGGTGCAGAGGGGGCAGGTGGAGACCTTGGTGACAGCACGGCTCAGGGTGGAATGCTGGAGCTGCAGCACGTGGTCACAGAGACTGGTCCCAGGGGCCACCCTGTGCTCAGCCTGGCCACGGCCAGCGTGAGCAAAGCATCTCCCAGCGGGATGCAGCCCAGTCCATGCATGCTGGGATGCCCCAGTACATCCCAGTCCATGGAAGGATGGTGGAGCAAGTCCTGCCAGCACGAGGAGCCCTCCTGCCCACCTCCAGCCCCTGGTATCGTTCCCATTCCCACCCTGCCTTTCCCAGGCACCAGCACAAACATTTGTGCATTGGCCCAGGGAAGGGGACACGGGGACCAACCCAGCAGCAAACATTTTGGGGTTTGTTGCTGCTATTTCTTTTGGTGGTGACACCAACTTCAAGTGGTTTCAAGTACAGCTCTGAGCACCCTGCACGGCCACGTAGGCATATTGAGGCCAGTCTGGCAGCCCTGGGAAGGCATCACCCAAAGTGACACAGAAACCTAAATATTTGTGCATTGGCCCAGGGAAGAGGACAGGGGGACCGACCCAGCAGCAAACATTTTGGGGTTTGTTGCTGCTATTTCTTTTGGTGGTGACACCAACTTCAAGTGGTTTCAAGTACAGCTCTGAGCACCCTGCACGGCCACGTAGGCATATTGAGGCCAGTCTGGCAGCCCTGGGAAGGCATCACCCAAAGTGACACAGAAACCTAAAGAAGCTTATAAAGGAAGACCTTCCGTAACGCGTACGAGGTGACACCATGGCGAGCTCAGAGCTTGTCCTGCAGACGTCAGAGAAGAACAGGAACATTTTCTACACCACTTCCCAGCCACCTGCTCGCCTGCAGTAATACCAACAGTTACACAGACACTCTGCAGCAGGGCCTTGCCTCCAGCCATGAAGATCCTGGAAATCATCCTGCAGTAAGACCAACAGTTACACAGACACTCTTTGCAGCAGGGCATTGCCTCCAGCCATGAAGATCCTGGAAATCAGGCCCCTGGCCATCTGCAGGATGCTGCCCATGGGGTATCACACCATAGATTTTCACCTGCTGCTGCAGAGGACATAGGCTGAGCCCTTCTAGTTTATACCATATAACCCCTAAGTACTGTCTTTATTATAAGGAGCAATTCTCTTTAAGCCAATATTACAGCTTGAAGAGCTCCAAAACTTACTGTCCTGCGGTAAAAACAGAGCCACGTGAACAACGAGCAGACCAAAATGCCCTCTGCCAGTTGTGTGTCAAACGTCTGCTCACGAAGGTGGCCTTATGACTGTCACTCTGGAATCTGGCACTAAAAAAATGACACCGAAAATGGGAGCTTAGGAAAAGTAACAGTCATGTCATGATCTAACTCTAATAAATACGCTTGTATCCCTCACAGTAAGCTGTCCTATAATTAGATCAGCTTAATTACCAACTAAGTGCCCTGCAAGTTGTAGTGCTTTTCTGAAGGTCCCCGTCCACACAGATGGAATGAGGGGACCCCAAAGGTGTAATTACACCTGGAGAGAGGAGGGTTTTATCCAGACCCTGTGGACATATAACAGCCTGGATTGGGGCCAGGCTTGATCCCAAAACAAACCAGCAGCAGAAGGCGGCTCTGAAAGTTGCTTAAGGATCATCTGGCAACTTTGGGGTGCAATAAGGGGCGAGAAAAATAAGGGTTAAGGAAGAGGCAGGTCGTGTGCCAAAAGACCTGAAGGGAAGCAGCTCCATCCTCCTGCTGCAGGTGGACTGAAGGCAGCGGGATGGGATGGGACAGGATGGGAAGGTGCGGGCAGGAAGGTGGTGCACAGACCTGCCAGCTCCCACGGTGCCCTCCGCCTGCCCGGGCCCTGTGCCAGCAGCCTACGGCCACCACCAAAACACCATGCCCTCAAGCAGCCAGAGCTTCTCAAAATAATCTCTGCATATTTTCTGTGCGCGAGAATACGACCGTGCTTTTAGAGGAACATAACTTGGAGTTTCTCTCTTGCACATGAAGCCAGGAAAAACAGAGTGGTTCCTGCAGAAACAGTCCCCGTGTCAGGGAGTGCTCTCACTGCACTGGCAAACAGCAAATAACCACGTCTGGTTGCTGCAGGTTTCCTGAGGAGGCCCCACAACTGCACAAAAGCCACCTCTGATCCCATCTTCAGCAGCCATGACTGTCCCACCATGCTCTAAACCACTGGGACCAAGTGCAGAACCTCCAGGACCTGAAACCCCTGGAAGCATCCTCTTCGTGTCCCCAACCCAACCTCTCCCCATCACACCAAAAGATGGGACACACACCAACGCAAGAAACCACACTTCATATCCAGAGTGGGTATTCCATGCCTATAGAAGAGGTTTCCATGCTCTGTGCCTCACACCAGGGTACACCCCATCAGCGTCGCACCTCACGCACCAGTAGGCTCTTCTCATATGGATGGAGCACACACATGGTTATGAGCTTGAAGAACGCATGAATCCACAGCATTTGATTGGGAACCAGCCCACATAGTGGGTTTAACACTTGTAACCTGCCACCACTGTGTAACTTTGGCAAAGGCACACGTCAGTCACCAGAATTTGGAGATACCACCAGAATTTGGAGATCCCACCACCAGCAACCTCCATCCCCACCTGGAAGACTTCAAAAGCCGACCTTGAAGTCCAGGTGGTCATAACACAACAAAAGCCTGGAAACCTGCAGGATGCCAACTGCAATTCAACAAGCTCATCCATCTCTGCAGAGCTCCTGCTCTGGGAAACAAGCCCTGATGGTGGGGGCCAGGAATTTTGGGGGAACGGAACCCAAACCAGCAGAGCCCTCCCGGGGCAGCCCCAGAAACCAGCCTCCATCTCCGCATCCCCCTGACCTTGTCCCCGCTGCGTGGCCGGGATGCAGGCAAAACTGCCCGGGGGGGTGGGAAGGGGGTGTCCCTGAACTTCGGGGTACCCCTGAGTCCCCGCGGGGGGGTCCCTGAGCCCCGGGGCTGGAAGGGGGAGCCCCCGCGGGACCGGCCGCCCGCAGCGCTCTCATCTCCGGCCAGAGCCGGGCTGGAGCTTTGTATCTTTCTCCCTCCCTCCCTCCTCCTCCTCCTCCTCCCCCCGCTCTGTTAGAAACATCTGAAACAACAGGAAACTGCAAAAGCCACAAACTCTTTCTGGCGCTGGTGTTTCACCCCCGTCCTGTCGGGGGGCTCCCCCCGCACCGCAACACGCACAAACGCAGCCCAGACCACCCCCTTCCCCGCAGCAGCGATGCCCGTGGGGTCGTCCCCCCACCCCCCCGGCACAGAGTGGGGTCTCCCACACCCCTTTTTTTCTTTTTTTTTTGGGAGTGTATTCTATTCAGCATCCCTGAGCCCGGCCCCGCAGAGCCCGGGGGCTGGGGGGAGCCCCGCTCGGGCTCCTCACCCGGATTCTAAAAATTTAAAGAAAAAATAAAAATTAAAAAAAAATCTCCAGGGCCTTACCGACTGCAGGAAAAGGCTCCTGTCCCCGGGCAGGCATCAGCTCATGGCTGGGGCTCCCGCCGCCGCAGCGGCCGCTCATGTATTTGCCGGAGAAATGCTGACTCCGGGCCAGCCCACCCCCTGCCCATCTGCGGACTGGGGAGAGAAGTTAAGCTTGGCTAATATCAGCTTAGGCGGTATTAGGGCGGCAGCAGCCCTGCCCCCCTGTAACCCTTGAGGCACTGGAAGCTCCTCATCCCGGCAGTGGGAGCCTTCCTCCAGCTTCTGGCAAACGGGAGAAGCTCCCCCTCATCCTCCCCCTCCCGAATATTCCATGGTTTGACACCTCTCTTTGTCACCCTGGAAGCTTCCCGGCTCCTCACAGGCTCCAGGCAAGGCTTTTGGGTGTAGAACTGCAAAGCCTTCCTGCAAACGCTCAGTTTAAAATGAAAGACAGCATCATTTATTATTTTTTTTTATTTTTTCCCCTTTGGGAAAAGTCATAGAATGAAGGTTCTGACACTGAGAAAGCCTGTGCTGCCAGTCCTAATCTGCTAAATTACAAACTTCATCGCTTGAGCAGAATAAATGTAAGTCTTCTGAGTCAATAAAATAGGAAGAGAATAACTATTGCCAATATCATCCTTACATTGTTACATATATATATAAAAAAAAACACAAACCAAACAAAAAACCACCTGGCATTTGAGCCCAAACCAGGTTTTGTTAATTTACATTTACTTCACACTGAGAATAACAAAACAAAAACTTTGCAGTTCCTTTGTGGGGGTAAAACTATGAATATTTAAGATCTGAGAGGTCTGGCTAAGACGTTTATCCCGACTAAAAGAACATTCCTTTCAGCTGAAAGCCAGCAGTCTCTGATTACTTCCAACTGCCCCCGTCTGAGCAAAGATAACACCCACCGGGTGGGCCACCCCCGGGGCCCCTCCAGGAGCCTCTCTCCACGTTTCCACCTTATTTACTGTTATTTATGTCATTCCTTCCTAGAATTGTGGCAGCCAGTGAGGCGCTTGAGGAGTCCATCCCTCCCGGGGAGGGATATTTGGCTTTGTTAACATTGAAGTTATTGTTTTTCTCACCTCCTCCTTTCTTTTTTTTTCCTCAAACAATAGATTGTGTCTCATCCAACCCTTCTCCCGCTGTTATCATAGTGAATAAAATTTCTGTCTGACCTGCCCTAAATTGTACTTGTAATATTATGCATTTGGAGTCCCCACGTTCCCTGACACCTTATACTGCCTCTATAGAGAATATTCAAAGAACATTTAACACTCATGAATGAAGAGGGAGAGATATTTAATGAGATTCCGGGCAAGCTTGTCAAGCGTCACTCTTTTGGCTCAGATGTGAGTATTCAGGCTTAATTCACAAATTTCCCTGGGTTGGGCACCATTTCTGTGGCCTAAATGGTCTGCAGATGTAAATCAGCATCTCAGTGCTGGCTCCGTGGGACCTCAGCAATATTCACCAGGATTCTGGTTGTTGATTCCTCAGGAGCCCCAGCCCGACAGAAACTTTGCAATCAGGAAAATATCTGAGGTGTGTGATGAGCCCCAGGCTGGCTGGGTGCTTGGGTGCCTGCACCCCACTGATACACCACAGCTGTGTTCGTGATGGGGTGCTCCAAAGGGGATGTGGGAATGCTGATTTTAAATAAATATTAGATTAAAAACAAGTTACTGTGCTGCATTTATTTGCAAGAGCTCTTCTTTCAAGCTCCTGTTGGTGAGGGATGTTCTTGCCTACCTCCCCGGAGTTCACAGAGGGCAATACACCCTCTGCATAGGAGGGGGGCTTCAGAAACACGTTTCAGGACAGCTTCAGACCTTTCCACCTCCCTGGTAAATACCCTGAGCAGTTATTCCCTTTCTCTTGTCTTGCTCTCATCACACATATGTACATTATAAGGAGTCACTTGCTGGAAAAACCGTAGGAGAAACAGGAGACAGAACAAAGGGAGAAAACTGGATTTAGGCTTCCTACCTTGAGGGAAGATGGACATAAGCACACTCTAAGTCATACGCAGAATAAAAGCTTCCCCAACATTTTCTGCTGGGTGATTTGCAGAGCAGAGTAATCAGGAGAGCTTCTTATGAGAAGGCAGCCTCCCTTTTTTGGACACGGAGCTGAGGGAAAGCACGCAGCTCGCCATAAACAGGGGTTTGCCCTAAGAGCCTTTGGCACTGGAACTCAAGAGGACAGTTCAAGCACATGTTAAGATCCTCCTGCAGGTGTTATCAGCTGTGAGAACCCCAGGCTGGGGGCTGGTGGGGCTGAGGACTTGGCCAAGGCAAGAGGAGCCACAAAACCCTTCATGCTTCAAACCAGGACTGGGGTGACTTCTGCTTCTGCCCAGAACTCACCCTCACCTTAATGAGTTAAGTAGCGGGATGTTTATGCTCTACAAGTACAAAGGAAATAAGAGTTCACCTTTTTGTGCTGATTAGTGCTCAGTCTAAAGCCCAGTGAGATCCAGCTACCAGTAAAATCAATAGAAAGGCTTCAAAAGGAGTTTTATGGGATTTGGCTGAGACCCCACCTGTCCAGGAAAAGAAAAAAGTTGTATCAGTAAGTCACGGTGCTTTTAATGCTCACAGCCAAACACGGCATGAAAGAAGAGAGTAACCTATTGAATTTCTCTACGCTTTATCAAAATTATCGAGAAACACAGATTAAAGCTGAATTTTAAACAGAGTGATGCTTATAGCCAGGAGGCTGCAGAGCCGTCAGAGCTGCTAACGGAGGCTGTGCCACCAGAAAACCACGCTGGGCTCAGGGCTGTCCCATGATCTCCCTGGGCTTTCATTGCTCCACGGCCCAAGGACCCACACAGCACTTCAAAATTCTGAGAATAACTCAATAAAAACTGCTGCTTCCTCTTTCAAGACATTCCCATAACCCAGGGCAATAGCTTCAGTTACAGAACAGGAATCTGCCAACACCTTCCTTAAGGCTCATCCATGGAAAATCCTACCTTGATTAGAAAGAGAAGACAGCCACTAGTGGGGGAACTTTACTCCTTTGTGTTTCTTTTTGGCAGTCTCTTTTTTCTTTCTCTGTTTTTTTTTGTCTGGCGTTACACTTGTGTTGATTATGTGGTGTATGTTTTTGACCACTTACAATGAGCAGCAGGAAGGAAGCACATTGTACAAGTAGAGGATTAATTCAATAATTAGGAACACTAATATGAGCTACCAGGCAAGTGTGTTTCTGCCTCCTGTCCCTCTGGCTCTCCATTTCCTTGCACCGCAGGGATGCCAATGGATGGCAGGGGAACAAAAATAACCCCACGAGGATGATTTTATTGCTTATGCATCTCTTCCCAGCTGTCATCCTCAGAACAGGTTACAGGCACCCAGAAGCAGAGGCTCCCTTTTGCCTCTGAGCGCGGTGGGTGCAGGACGGGGTGAGGTGTGGGGGCCACATCCTGCCCTGGTCCAAGGGGCTGCCTTCAGCATCCTGGCACCCACCACCCCGAGACCCCAACCACAGCCCACACCCAGCTCCGGTACCCCTGGCAGCGAGGGGGGAATGAGGGAAAAGGAGGGATTGGCATCATCGCATGGAAAACTTGGAGAAATCTGTGGTTGGGCTGTGATTTGAGCTGTCCTTAATTATTCAAAGCGAAATACTTCGCTGAAACTTGCTTTTCTTCCAACAGAAATAACAAATGGTGACATTGTTTGAATGTTTTTAAACACTTGGTTTATGTTTCAGGATCTTTGCTGTTGCTTTGGTTTTCGTTTGTTTGTTTTGGTTTGTTTGGGGTTTTTTATTATTTATTTTTATTTTGTTAACTGAAGCAGCCAATAGGCTATTTATATTTTTTGTTTCTAGTCAGTCCCACGTTCTGATTTCGCACCCTGCAGTGCATTTCTGTGCCTGACATTGCTGTAACTTGCCTTTGCTCTCCTATTTTCACAGGTATTTTCAAGTCCCCATGAAGACATTTCTGTCCACGCTAAATTTTATAAACTCTTCCCAAATCTCTCTACAGCTGCACAGAAGTGAATTTTCAGTTCGGAGATGCATAGCACCTTTGAGTTGCCTCCCTGCTGTCAAGCTTGTCCCCAGCTCCAGCCCCCTGGAAAAGCAGCCTTTAGATTCCCTTTTTCTGGATATTTTAAGACGAGTCTCTCCAAGACGCTGGAGGAAGGTTTCAAAGAGTTAAGGCGGGGGGAGGCCCTCAGACAGCCCATTCTTCAGTCTCAATGACCCAGAGCTTTTGCCTTTTCAAATGTGTTTAACCAAATAAAGCGAACAGAGGATATGCAAATGCCTTTCTTTTTTTTTTTTTTTTTTTTTTTTCCCGAAAGGAAGCACAGCCCTGAATTGCTGTTGGCAGGTCAGAGCATCACACCACCCTCGGCAGCCTCTCAGCGCCGGGGATTTGCCTGCCCGGGGAGAGGCGGCTGCCCTCGGCCGGCATAAAAAAAAACCTTTTTTCAGGCAGAATAAAACCCGGGCTGGGGCATCGCGCAGGGGCCGAGGAAGAAGGTCACTGGGCATCGCTCCCCCGGTGTCCCCAAAACACGCGTGTGCTGTGCCGGGGGGCACTCAATCTCTGCAGACATCAGGGTGCGGGTACCACTCGGGGAACCCCTCGCAAGTTGCCACAAGCTCCTCTCAGCTGGGCTGCTCGAAGGAGTTATTTGAACCTTTTTTCTTTTTTTTCTTTTTTTTTTGGAAGAAAAAATAATAGTGAATGAGGTCATCTAGAGTTACAGAGAATGGTGCTGCCCCAAACCGAGCTGTGTCAGAGATACAAAGAAAAATACTTCCAACATTTCAAGAGGGATTCTAAATATTTTATGGGTTTTTTTTAATATATTTTATTATTTATTTTATTATTATTATATTCTATATATAGGAAAGAACTTGTTTGGTGTGAGGGTGGTGAGAGCCTGGCCCAGGTTGGCCAGAGAAGCTGTGGCTGCCCCATCCCTGGAGGGGTTCAAGGGCAGGTTGGAGGGGGCTTGGAGCAACCTGGCCCCAAAACACGCGTGTGCTGTGCCGGGGGGCACTCAATCTCTGCAGACATCAGGGCGCGGGTACCACTCGGGGGACCCCTCGCAAGTTGCCACAAGCTCCTCTCAGCTGGGCTGCTCGAAGGAGTTATT